GCCATGACAAAGATGGGTACAATCCTACGAGGCATCAGCAAAGAGGTTTCTAGAAGGGGGGACGTACTCGCCCTCACCCAAAGCCTGGGGTGGCCCTGCCTGCAAGCAGGGAGAGAAGCAGGATGGGTAGCCCCATTGGGATCAGCCCAAGGAAAAAGAGAGGGAGGCAGTGGGTGGAGAAGTGCCCAAAATCAAGTGACAACCCAGGGATCAGCCGATAGCCTTTGCAGGGACAGTGCCATGAGCCCCAAGGGGAGCAGAGGGCAAAACCTGCCATTGCTTTTGCAGCAGAGCTGCTGTTCCCTGACTGGACGGTTGTCTGTCTGAGATTGTGAGGGGTAGACCCCAGGAGCCCAGCTCAGCTTTAGCGTACGCAGGGCACATGAGCTCACTGCTCCTCAGTGCATGCAAGAAGAGCTCTGCCCTGTCCCGCTGTGATGACTTGCTCTCGTACCAATGTTTCCTCTCCTCTGGTGAGGCTTCATCCTGCAGCAGCAGCTCCCAGCAGCTGCTCTCTGTGAGTTGGCGCAAGCGGGGAGCACGCAGGGCTGGAGCAAGTAGGGAGAAAGCAGGGCTGGAACAAGCAGGATTAGAGCTAGAGGATGCTCACCAGCAGCATCCTAGCGCTTTCCAGCAGAGAGGAGCAGATGGGGACGAGCATCTCAGTCCTGGTGCAGTTCCCCTCCTGGTGAACGCTTCAGCATTTCCAAAACAGTGGCATGTGAGGTGTGGGTGGCAGGGATCCATCCATGCTCAGCCCCTGTGTGTGCCGCCCCATGCATGATGGCAATTCTTATTTAGGCTGTCAACCAACAGCACATCTTAGAATCACAGACTCACAGAATGGTTTGGCTTGGGAGGGACCTTCAAAGATCATCTAGTTCCAAGCCCCCTGCCATGAGCTGGGACATCTTCCACTAGATCAGGATGCTCAAAGCCCCATCCAGCCTGGCCTTCAACACTTCCAGGGATGGGGCATTCACAACTTCTCTGGGCAACCTGTGCCAGTGTTGCACCACCCTCATTGTGAAAAAAGAAGTCTTCCTTATATCTACTCTAGATCTACCGTCTTCTAGTTTTAAACTGTTGCCCCTTGTCCTGTCACTACAGGCCCTAGTAAAACATCTCCATTTTTCTTATAAGCCAACAAGGTCTCCCTGGAGCCTTCTCTTCTCCAAGCTAACAACCCCAACTCTCTCAACCCTTCTCCACAGCAGAAGTGTTCCTGCCCTCTGACCATTTCTGTGGCCTCCTCTGGACCCACTCTAACAGGTCCATGTCTGTCTTGTGCTGGGGACCCCAGAGCTGGATGCAGTGCACAAGAATGGAGTAGAGGGGGAGCATCACCTCCCTCAACCTGTTGGCCACACACCCAGGCCACAATTGGCTTTCTGGGCTGCAAGAGTACATTGCACATGTCCAATTTGTCACCCACTACTGTCCCCAGGTCCTTATCCACGGAGCCGCTCTCGATCCATTCATCCCCCAGTCTACATTGATATCCTCTGCAGGGATTTATGGCCAACTGCCAACATAAGAGCCAGCAACAAAGTTTCTGATCATAAAACCATGGTGTTGCCCCTGCAGCTCAGCGGTGGCGGAGGCAGCAGTTTTTGTTATAATCCTGTTTTTTTTAATCTTGCCCATCCGAAGAAGCCCTTGTCGGAGTTGATGCTCAAGGTCAGGAGAGCTGTCGGTCACCTTTCAGCTACTAAGAAAACTTTTGGCTAGTAGTCAGCAGCAAACCAGAGCAGGCAAGGAAGGGACAAGTCATGGGGAAAGAAAGGGTGGATGTAGTTTATGAGCAGAGAAAATAGAAAGGAGAGGATTTGTCTGCAGGCAGTGAATGAACCAGCTTCATGCATCACCTCATGAGCCTGGTCTGGCTCCTCCAGGGCTGCCAAAAGAGCCCATTTCTGCCGAGTGGCTCTCATAGGTGGTGCAGGCTCTTGGCTGTCCCCCTAGTGCTCTGGCGAGGTGGTTGAAGGTGATTTAGGGTCTGAATGTGCTTTAGCTTTTGCTGAAGACCTGCCCTTTCCCCTCCAAATACTCCTTCCTGCAGAGTTTTTCGGTCCCTGGGAAGATCCCTGCTCAGCATCACCAAGGATGGTACTGAATGAGATGAACAGTAAAGATGAAGCCAGCCGTTCCCTTGGTCGCCTTCCCCACCTGGCACTGCCTGAGCCAGGATGAGCCACTCCACAGGCATTGGGCAAAGCTGGTGGGCAGCAACAGGGCATTGCAGGGTTTGGTGGGTGGGTCCAGCTGAATCCTTCTGCAACCTTTTCTTTGTCCTCCTCCTTCAGAGCGAGCCCGGGATTACCTGCACAAGACTGGACGCTTCATTGTCATCGGTGGCATTGTCTCGCCCGTGCACGACTCTTATGGGAAGACGGTGGGTCATCCCCATTTTCTCTTTCTGCATCATATGTCTGATGGTGTCTCAATACAGGGGCAAGCACTGGGCAGTGCTGTCTGCACCTGTGGTCCTTTCATGGACCTCCTCTACCCAGGGTAGCCCCTGACCATGGCAAAGCCTCTGAGAGGAGGGAGCAGATAAACCCGTTTGCTCTTTAGATAAAAACTGCAGTGAGACCCTACAACCAGCCAAAGTGCTATACAGTGAAGAGAAATGTCCTCACCCAAAATGGGGGTGGTCAACTTCTTGGGTTGGATTTTGGGTTTTTTTTGGAGGAGGGGGGGCGTTGAATGATTTCAAAGCAAATTTTATTGTGGGGATGGCGACAATTCAAGCAGGGACCTTTAAAAGCACCTTCTGTTGGGGGGAGAAAAACGAATTAGCAGAGGAGAGGATTTCATCTTCTCCTGAAAGCTGGAGAAATTTCACTGAGAAACCACTATCCCCGGGTCTGGCCCTACTGCAGCTGAGAGCGGCAGTGTTGAGCAAATCTCGCCAACCGGTTTGTAACCAGGGCTGAAGCAAGGCAGGGGCTCCTCTCCTCTGGCAAACAGGAGCTTAAATAACTTTTTGCAGGCAGGAGTGGCCTGTCTCATCTAAGCAAGCCCAATGCTCTGCTCCAGGAAGATTTGCAACCCTAGGCTGGCCAGGGCATGACACTTGCCTCCTCCCTGTAACTGTTCCTCCATCACCCTTTCTTGCAGGGTCTGGTCTCAAGCCGGCACCGCCTGACCATGTGCCAACTAGCCGTCCAGTCCTCTGACTGGATCAGGTGAGTGGCAGAGTCCATACTTACTGCTGCACTGGTGGCCCTGGCACCGTGGTGGCAAAGTCCCACATGCAAAGTTCCTCTGCACAACATGTGGGCCGCAGGTCCCCAAAGTGGAGATGCCACCTGCTGCCAGAGCTCCAGGATGGACTTCCTCCTCTCCAAACCAAAGCTTGGTTGAAAACAGAGGCCTTCCTCTCCTAGTCCAGCAGAGAATTGATGAGGGGTGTTACACTGTCCTTCAAGGGTGCCCTTTGGCTTCATGGATTCTTACACGGCCCTCACTGAGTCTGTGGTATCCAGGTGAAGCCCACATTGACCCAACCCTCCCCAGCCTTGTGCCATGGCACCTTCCTTTTCTACGCCTGCAGCACCAGCCCAGGGACTCTCCTCTTCCCAGCATTGCTACATGATGTCTGGTGGCTGAGGTGGGACCAGAAACATCTCTGGGCTGCCCTCAGGAAGCAGAGTCGTAACATGTGGATACATCCAAGCCAAATGAATGTTGGTTAATTGGGTACCAAGAGCAGAGAGGTGTCCAGGAGCATATTCAGGTCCCCAAAGCTATTACAGAGAGCTGGGTGGCAGGGTTGGAGAAAGGACATTGTCCATGGCAGAGCTGGGGGGGCGATGGTGGCTGTTCTCAGTACTGCTGGCCAACCCAGTGGGGAGGAGATAACATGCCCAGGAAGTCCAGGCAGTGGCCAACATTGTTGCCTTCGTGTACTCCCCACAGGGTGGACCCCTGGGAGTGCTACCAGGACACCTGGCAGACCACCTGCAGCGTGCTGGAGCACCACCGTGACCTGATGAAGGTGAGGCAGCCCCCACACCATGGGTGCACCTGGGGTGAGGGCACAGGGAGAGCGCAGGAGTGGGGTTGCTCTTGCACCAGCATGTGGAGACATCAACAACCAAAATATGGCTGGGACAGACAGAGAGAAGACTTGCAGGAATGTGCCTGAATTCTTGACCTGGAAGAGGTGTAAAACACTTTGTCACAGCTGCTTTGAGCTCCTTGCCCTGATGGTGAAAGCAAACTGAGCCCTCCAGTCAGAGCCAGCAGCCGTCCCAGTCCTGTGCAGACCAGGGAGAGGCGCAGGGGTGAAGGCAGAGTGAAGGCAGGGATGGGCATAAGCCAAATCATTAATGCTCCATCCTGAGGGGAAGGAGAGGTGGACAGGTGTCCCTGCTCATCAGCTGAACGAAAACTGCTATATGCACCCACCGGAGCGGCTCAGTGAGATGAGAAAATTCAGCAGCTGGGAAGTCCACAGGGAACGCAAAACCCAGGAAGAAAAGTCTATCCAAAGCCCAGGCAGGCCTGAGGGCTGAAAAGGAAAGCAACTACCCTCAGGTGACCACAGGGACAGGGAGGGCACAGCTGCTGCCAACACTTGGATACAGCGAGCAAACCAAGGATGGGAAACCAGTAAAACAGCATCAAACAAACTCATGGGAAGCCCAGACAGGAGGCACAGAAGTAGCATTAAGCAGCCTGGCAGGATGGCCAGGGCATCCAGGGACCGTGATGTCGAAGCCAGGGAGACCCTGGGGATGCCTTCCTTTTCCTGCAGGTACTGGGGGAGGAGATGAGTGCATGTTTGCTCCCAGGGTAACGTGTAAGCCACTGGCTTTGCATCACTGATTCATCAGCTGCTGTATTTTTATTTACTTATCAGAATTTATGAGCACCTCCAGGTGATGGAAACAATGCTTACCTGCAGGCAGCACAGTTGCAGCCTTGCCAGCCTCATGGGTCCACACAAAAAGTTAATCCCACCATCTCCAGCCTTGATTGGAAGTTGTTATACATGGGGTCCTGCTAGCCCCAGGCTCATCTGGTGAGGTCAGATGGGACCGGGGATCCTAAAGTGAACTTGGACGTACCTGTCACTGAAGATGACCTTCAGCCTGGGATACAGAGTCTTGATATGGGGTTCATAAAGGTTTTGGGATGCAGCTGGGGTGAAGGCACTGTTTCAGCTACATCTCTCTCTCATTGCAGAGAGTGACTGGCTGCATCCTCTCCAACGTCAACACCCCCTCCATCACCCCCGTGATTGGCCAGCCCCAGAATGAGTCCTCGCAGACCATCTACCAGAACAACAACAATGTCTCCAACAAGCCCACTGCGGGTAGGTTGCAGCGGGAGAGGGAAGAGGGGAATGACCACCCACCCCTCACCTCACAGCCAGGACTGCTGAGCATTAGGAGTAGTGCTCCATCATCTTATTCTTGGGCCAGGTCTGCTCATCAGGCTCCATGCATCAAGCCCAGAGTCAAGTGGGGATGCGATGCTGGGGAGGGAGGGGAACAGATGTGGCATCTGCCACAGCAAGGGGAACCAAGAACAACTTGAAATGGCTGTGAAATCACATTGGACTTTAGCTGGATGTTGTCCAGGCAGCAAGAGCAGCTAAGAGAAAGGGTATCTGGTACCCATGGCATGTGTGCAAGGGATAAGCTGGCAGGAGAAGTGGCACAGCTGGATCCCACACGAGTCATCAGGATGTGAGACATGGAAGTACTAGTTAGGGAGAAGAGGGGGCATTACTTAAATCCCATAAAAACAAACATCCTGTGATTTTTTTCATGATTTTAGCTGACCATCTGGTCCCTTCAAGGCACAGCATAGTGTTCTTGGGAGTTAAGACCACAAGAGGCAGTGAGACACTGAGAGTGGTTCCCACACCCAGGCACAGGAGTATCTCACAGGACCGGGGTGGCCAAAATGTTCATTTGTTCTCCTGTTAATTTTCCTTCTTCTTCACCTTTAGCAAAGATCCTGGGGAAGGTGGGAGAAAGCCTGAGCCGGATTTGCTGCGTTCGCCCGCCCATGGAGCGCTTCACCTTTGTGGGTATGTAGAGGAAAGCCCCAGCATCACCTCAGCTTCGGCACCAGCCCCCGGCCTTCTTCCCAGCCCCCTCTCACAGGCCAGGCACCAGCATGTCTGTTTTGCTTCCTTTCCCCAGATGAAAATGCCAACTTGGGGACAGTGATGAGATATGAGGAGATCGGTGAGTATGCAACCCCCTTCGTGTTGCTCCAGCTCCTCTGGGCCGCCACTACGTGGCTCAGGTGCAGCTGCATGACAGATCTGGTGGCAAGTGAAGGATGCTGGATCATCTCATCCCGGTGCCAGCTCTTGGGGCTCAGGGGTGAAACAAGAGCAGCACTAAACTGTCCTGAGCTCGTTCCCATTGACAGACAAGCAGCCTGAAATAAGGGACCGAGCAGCGGGGACCCAGGTCCCAATGCTGGCACAGACCTACCATGGCATCATGCTTTGAAAGTTGCCCTAAGTGCCATCAAACTTGCCCTCCCATGGTGGTGTCACCCACATACACGCATTGCACACAGCAGCAGAAGGGATTTTGGCTGCCTGACCAGCCATGGGACCCCTTTCTCTAAAGCTCTTTTGGGGTTTTAGACCCATTAGGCTGCCACATACTTAGCACCGCCGTACATCACCCAGGGCTTAGCATTGGGAGCTTGCTGGTGTTTTTGAGACCCATTTCATGAGCTAGCTCACACACAGCCTGGCACAACACCCATCCTGGCACCAGCACCATGCAGAGGCCAAGGGCTTTGGCCACCTGGAAATACCAACCAGGGATGCACCTTCCCACACAGCTGCCTCTTCCCACCCCTCCAGGCGAGTTTATAGATTTTCTCTGCTGGTTGTGCAAATAAATTAATCTTTTTGGACCCATTGGAGCAGAAAGCTCCTTCCCACAGCACAACTTTCTTGCTAAGCAGCAAAGCCAACCCTCAAAGCAAGCTGTCAGTAAGCACCAGTCTCAGCCTGGGGAGAGAAAGGGAGGACTTGGAAGTCCTCCAAGATGAGCAAGGAAAACCTCTGGCGCTTCACCACCAGCTTTGCTAAAGTAAACACAGCCATGCCCGGGGCTCTGAGCAGTTCCCTGGGCTCTCCCCATTGCCCTGAGGCTGGAGCCCCTGCAGCAGATCATGAAGCGACTGTGGGTGCCCATAGCATGGAGAAATTACTCCCTTTGCTGGGGATACACCACTTCCAGGGCTGGAGCACAGCCATAGCTGAATGGCAGGTACCAATACTGACAACAATCCAGCCGCGTGGGAGAGGAGCTGAAATAAAGTAGGGTGAGGGCTATTTGATGTTTGGCACCAGTAGGGATGTGAGAAGGACCAGGGGATCTTTTAGCGGGACTTGTTTTGGCGGGGAAGTCTGTGCAGAACAGAGGTCTGTGCAATGGAATGGCAAGGGAAGTGGTGCCTGCTCAGCCCCATTTGCTCCCACCTCTGAGCTTCTCTGCTTCTTTTCTGCAGAGCTTCGCATCTTACTGCTCTGTGGCAGTGACCTGCTGGAGTCCTTCTGCATTCCTGGTCTCTGGAACGAGGCAGACGTGAGTCACCACCACTGGGCACCTCTCCATGCTCCTCTTCCCCAGGCTCTCTTCCTCCTCCTCCTCCTCTGTTTCCCGCACCCAGTGCTCCTGGGAGCTGTTCAAGTCCCTTGAGATGTCAGGAGCTGTGCCCACCATCCCTACACATGGGCAGCCTGAGGGACAGGGTCTTCTGCTCCTGAGTCACCAACTTTACCCAACCTCCCCTTCCACAGACCCAAACCCTGCTCTCACTCACCATTCATGCAGAAGACATCACCCAGGGTGCAGGGTAACCCTGTCCCAAGGGATTTCCAAAGGCTGCGCTCCCACTCCTCATCCCTTGGAAGGAGGCAGCATCAAGTAGATGCCAGTCCCAGCAGAGTGAGGCGTGGAGGTAGGAAATAAGATATTTACAAAACTTGGCCAGACATTAGAAATGAAACACATTTACAGTAAAATCGACAGCTTTCACTTAATGAAAGGCTTTCCTGCAATGTGGGGTACCCAGGTACCCATCTTTACAAAGACCAAGAAGGAAAACCATCTTGACTCCTCAGCCAGATGATGCCTAATGCCAACCCACAGCTGATATGAACCTGTCTCAGCACCTGCCACAACTAAAAAAACACTGTCCACCTTTCTGTGCCCACACACCACAACACCCCGCTCCCCCCACCCCCCATTAGTGAAGGACTGCAGCAGGATACCCAGCACCCTGGACACCGCAGTCCCTGCCTGAAGAAGCCACATTTTTGTGGAAGGACACCAGCCCTAGAGAGGGACTGTATTACCAACATGCACACTGCGCCTGGCAATCAGAGCAGTGCTGGCTATGGGAGTTCACCTGTCTCTTTACTGAAATCGGGCAATCAACACAGCCCTTTCCCCCCGCCTTGAACCTCTCAACCATTTCTAAAATCAGTTACCACGTCCTCAATCCAAAGCTTTTTAAAACAATTAGCTGGCAGATATCTCCTCTGAAAGGCCGCTAAATCTGAGATGAGGCAAGTCTTGAAGGCCAGCACAAAGGATGCAAAAATTGGATGTCAAAGCACAAGCAGAGGAGGCATTCTGCAGCAGCACCACCTCATAGGCTTCTGCTGCCTGAATTTGCTGACCCAGAGCTCTTTCAGATGAGCCTGGTTTGTCTTAGCCAAGATGGGTGTGAGCAGTGGCTGCCATCCCCACGTAGTGGCAAACTTGGCCACCAGCCTTGGTGCAAACAACCTTGGAAGAACAACTCTACAAGACCTGTGTCAGGACCAACACGTCCATCCTGATCATAAAGCCTTCCAGCAAGGCAGAGCTCATGTTCATCCTCAGGCAACCTCTTCTGCCGCCACCCTCCTTCTGCCGCCACCCTCCTTCTGCCACGACAAGTCCTCCCTAAAGTCTAACCTCAACATCTAGTAATAGGATTTAACCCTGTGCCTTTTTATTTCATCCACTGCAGACCATTCACCATGCCTTGATAATTCCAAGTTTCTGCCAAAGTCTGTTGAGATAGCTTCAAATTCACTTTCTATCTCCATCCAGACCATGGCCAAGCTTTCATGGTGTCAGGGGGGTTGGCGGAGAGTCCAGGTTTTGCATGGGGTAGTTATAAAGCTCTCCCCGCTTTGGGTTGCTCCTAGATGGAGGTGATCGTTGGAGAGTTTGGGATCGTGGTGGTACCCCGGGATGGAGCAGACCCCGATCGAATCATGAACCACTCCTCCATACTTCGCAAGTACAAAGTAAGTGGATGCACGCATGGCTGGTGTAGGCTGTGAGAGGACCCACAGCTCCCAGGGGCACATAATGTCTGGACGCCAGATGCTCTCAGCTGCTAGGTGGGATGAGCAATGCAGGAGTCCCCCAAGGCTGGCAGGGCAGATACACTTTCAGGCTGTCCTTTCACTCCTTTCTTCCTCCTTCCTCTGCAGAACAACATCCTGGTGGTGAAGGACGACTCAAACCACCCCATGTCGGTTGTAAGCTCCACCAAAAGCAGGTGGGTGATGCAGGGGGCACTCCTGCTACAGGATGGGGGGAGGGGTGTCCCCAGCCCACCCCTCCATTTGCGGGGACACCAAGGTGACACCCAACCCACCCAAACGAGCTCTGACCCCTTTTCTCCCCCTGAACCCGCAGACTGGCACTGCAGCATGGGGATGGACACGTCGTGGATTACCTTTGCCAGCCCGTCATCGACTATATCCTCAAGAGCCAGCTCTACATCAACGCCTCCGGCTAAGCACCAGAGGTCTTGCAGCGAGACAGCCCTCGTGTCCCGCCTGCTTACAGCTCTCCATCAGTCTTTTTTCTCTCTCTCTCCTCTCTCTCTCTCTCTCAGTTCGTGTCTCCATCTCTCTCCCCACCCCATGGCCTCCTGCCCATGTCTGCCTCTCACCCCCGGCGCCAGCGCTCCATTGTGCAGCAATGTCCAGGGAACTGCGGCACGGCCCTGAGGGGGATGGTTTGGTCTCTTTTTTCAGGGAACCACCCTCCCCCTCATAGGCAGGGAGGTAGAGGGGACCTGTAAAAGAGCGATGTGCTCAGTGCGCTCAAGGGGAGGCAGCTCCGGCACCCCCCTCCCAGCATGTCACTGGGAAGTGGTCCCTCTGGTCCGTCCTCCCAGCATGCTCAGAGCAGGGGCTTCTTCTTCTGCATCATCTTATGGTACTTAAGCTCAATAAATTTAGGTGGACTCTTTTTTCTTAAATAGTTTTAGTGCGAGCCCTTTCGACCTCTCAACATGATGACCAAATGAATCCTGGTTGGCAGCAGGCAGTTGTAACCCAACTGGATTAGTGCCCCACAGCAGGTGAACCTCCTCAGGCTGGCAGTAGGATAATCCAGCTAACAAAATCCTTCTCCTGGCCCTGAAAAGTCATGACAAGGGCATTTCTGAAGGGGAGCAGAAGCACATTGCTGCCAAAGCATTACTAGGGGTGATGCCATGTCTCACCTTTCCTTGGCTGCAAGTGAACCCAACCCATCCCCTAGCCAAGTGGAGTTGGGGTGATGCTCTACTCTGACGCAGTGTCAGAGGGGGCAGCCCACAGCACCTAGAAAGGAACCTGATGTTTATGAAGCCAAGAAATGAGGGAGGAAGAAGCAGGTGGTGACCTAAAGCCTCTAGTGAGAATCTGCCCCAAACCTGGCTGAGCTTCGTGGGGGTTGGGTCCATCCCATCCTCCAGATCTCCATTTCTGTATGTAAACTTCCCCTTTCTCCTTCCACTCCTCCCCTCTTCCTCTCCTTGAAGAGTTTATTAAATGTGTGATACTTTCCCCCTCCCAAACCGGCTGTGGCTATTTACGCGTCCCTTGGGACATGCCAGGCTCCTACTCTCCTGCCTGTGATGTGCCCCAAGACGTTGGGGAACGAGCCTAGTGGAGACACTCGCATTAAAACCAGGGCACATAACATGGGGAAAAAGAAAACTATTTAAGTCTTGTGGAGACGAGGGTTGCTGAAGTGGGCCGTTGTCCTGCTGAGCATCCCTACGGGTACAAGGACCCTGCGCAGCACCTGGGAAAGGTCACAGTCACCAGGAGGTAGGTACAGTCCTACTTTACTCCTCACCTTTTCCTCTTCCTTTGCTCCATCTAACCTTGTATCGCTTTGGGTGTAGCTCTGCTGCCTGTAACTCCTGGGCATCTGCCCACTCCCCACAAATTTGGGTCAGCTAGGCTCAGGCTATAACCCCCCACCAAGGCACAACCACTGCCCATGCTAGCTTTGTGGCTTTCCTGGGGCAGCACTGTGACTAGCTGCTGGTCCCCAGCACAGGACAGTGTAGCAATGAGACAGCCAAAGGCTGAGAGTCCTCCGGGGAGTTTCAGGGAAACATCTGAAATTACCTTTTTTTTTGTTTTGAAATTACATTTTATTTCTTCTCGCTTAAACAGCTATGAAGGGTCACAAGCTGCTCTCAAGTAAGCTCCAAAGATGAGACATTGTGCTCAATTTGGTGACCTGCTGGATGCTGCTGGCATCTCTGTAGCAGCAAACAACTTAGGACAAAACAAGGTAGTCTGCAGCTACAGGCTCCTTGCAGTGGGCAGGGTTTTACAGGCAGTAGCTGATGACTTCTCACGGAGGGAACAGCCCTTCACAGAAGGGCAAGAGAGACAGAAGTGATGTGATTTGCCCAAAGGCCAGAAGAGGTCTTTCCTTGCCAGGGATTTCCCTCTGCATGGAGAGGCTTGTTTGGGAACTGTGGTAAATTCAGCAGCTGAAACCCTCAGTGCCAGCTCTGGTATCTTCAGGCAGTATGCCATGGGGTGAGGAGATACGGAGAAGCCAAAGCAGTGACAGTCAGCAGGACTCAGAGTGCAGGGACACCTCCAGGGAGGTCTTAAGCCAGTTTGAGCTGCTCACCAACAGCCTACTGAGCCCCTTAGCTAAGGTGGGCAGGTGCCCATGGTGGGACATCTCATCCATGAGACACCCAATGTATGGAAGCCAGTAGCTAGACTCCTCTCCACCCGTTGTTTTCACATGTTCAGTTTTTCAGTCTCTCCTCCCTCTCCAGACCAACACAGAAGTTATTTCAGATAGCAGCCTCCTGTCCTCGCCAAATGTCACCTACGTTTCTTAGCTCCATGCCGGAGGAGAAAAAGCAATGGTAGCAATCAGCCTCCAGAACACACACACAAATAGAGAGGGATTTTAACCTCCTGGGGAAGCGATGCCTCTTTGAAAGGGGAGGAAGGACAGTAGGTTTTAACTGAGGAAATGATGCAGGGAAATAAAACAAAGGAGATGGAGGAGGAAGGCAGGTGGCATGTCTGAGAGCCATCTCAGACCCTCCCTCCCTCAGGTATGTGAGATGGGACACAGGGGAAGCCAGATGGTTTCCCATCCCATTGCGGTTAGGACGGCATGCCTTAGAGACATAGCGTTGTGGTATGGATGATGAGTATATTCTGTCTTACTAGTCTTACCGGCGCCTTCATGTATCTGCTCAGTAAAACTCATGGTACGGGGGGGTGGGACAGGGGATTTGTAACAGGTCGTTCAGCTCTGGGACTGGTTTGGAAAATGTCTTTGGGTGGGTAGGGAAAAAAAAATAATAATCCCTGAAGAACCATGCCAGCACCGGGGAGGTGAGGATCAGGTTTTCCAGGGTGCAGGGGAGGGATGGGAGGAAGCTTGTGGGTTTTGGTCTTTGAACCTCCACTTTTAAACAGTGTAATTTTCTGAAAGAGTAATGTACTTCAAATGTCTTTTGGAAAAAAATGAAATGGGGGGGGAGGGAGGGAAAGGGGTTGAAGTTGCCATGCCACTGATTTCACCTTTGTCAAAAGTTTTGGAGCCTAATTTTTTTTTCTTCTGTTGCTATATGGAAAAAAAAAGGTCATTGACAAAAAAAAAAAAAACTTTATCAGCAAAATGTTTAAATTATGTAATAAACAAAACAAAACAGAAAAAAGATGTTACTGGTGTCATTTTAAAACAGCCGCAAGACTGAATCAGCACGAAGAGCGCAAGCAGCTGCACTGCTGGAGAACTGATGGCCAAACTCACAGAAAATGGGGTGCTAGAGAAAATAAACCAGTAGGCAAGATCCATCCAAAAGTACTTGTTATTTATTGATATCTTTCAAAAAACCCAACTCGTGGAAAAATAAAGTCAGGTCCATAATACCTGTCCCTATGCTGTACAACGGGAGAAGGAAGACAGGCCAGAGGCAAGAATACATCCTACTTAAATAAAAGTGTAACTCAGACATAGTACTTGGTATATCCTTATCAAGCAAAAGAATGGGTGCTGCTTTATCAGAGAATCAGGGGTAACAAGGGGTGAGCATGTCCCCCATAGTGCCCTCCTCCATCCAGGACCTCCTCCTCCACCACCACACGGGTCAGGGACCTTCAGCAGAGTTGACTTCCAGCACCTGCTAGCTCTTTTTTTTCCCCCTGAAATGGCATCTAAAAGAAGCTGGAAACAGTGTCAGAACAGAGCTGGACCCACAGAAAAGCCATGGGTAGCTGAAGCAAGCACCATAATCTTCAACTCCTCCAAGCTCCGCTCAGATGTACAGTGGGAAATCCTGTGGACAATTACTTGAGCCTCTGAGAAGCATCCAGCACCACGTGGGAGGGAGGGATGGATGGAGGGGGGAACTGGCAGCACCAAACGAGAGGTGGAGACACATTCAGGACATCATCAATATTTTTAAATGGATTGAATCAGGACACTGACACTCCAGCAGTAGGGGGCCGGGCTCTCAGACGTGAGACCTTGTGGCTGCAAATCCCTGGAGAAAGCCCTCATTCCTGTGACAAGTGTTGCAGGGTCCTGAGTGCTTGTGCAGAGGGGACACCACCTTGCTTCTCCCAGGCTCTGGAAGACCCAGGAAGCTGCCTGGTACCACACTAGCTGGTCTTGGAAGGAAGGATTGTGCTTGACCATGTAAGGGGATGGTAGAGACTTGTGCTTGCCCAGGAGGAGCTTTGACAAGAAAGTTATCCCTCAGGGGCTTTCGGACTTGAAAAGAAGTGCGGGAAGAAGAGGGTCCTCTCCTCCTGGCTGAAGGGAGCAGGTGGAGCAGAAAAGACTTTCCATTTGAGGAGCCCCAGCAGTTCTCTCCTCCTCTGCTAGCCTGGGATCCCCTTCTTCCTCCATCCAGCACATCACTCTGAGCTCAAAGGCAGCTGGCACTTTTTTTTTCCTTTTAGAAAAACGGTAACCACCTCACTGGGAAGCATCGTGGAAGACCTGAAGCTTAATGAAAAGGATCATCAGTGGCATCTGATGCCAAATCTCCAAGCTACAACAAAACCACACCAGCTCCACTCCCAGCAAGGTGAGGACTGGGCAGGTTGGGAGGAGAAAGCTGTGTGTCACAGATCAAAACTCATCTCCCCCAGCTGCCACTTCACACTACTTGCTCCCTGCCTCCTGACCTACAGAAGGCGAGGAAGACCCCATGGAGAACATGAGTAGGAGGTGGTGGTGGCAGTGTCAAAAGTAAGGACAGAGACTCTAGTCCTTCTGTGTGTGCCAGACCAGGATAGGGGATCCACAGGGGATGGAGAACCTCTCAGCTGTGAACTTCAGGCTCTGAACTGCGCAAATTCCCAAGGTTGACACCAAGAAACCCCCACCTGCACCTCAGAGAAATGTTGTAGGAACAGGATGTTCTTCAGCCAGTAGCACCTTCATGCAGCCAGGCATCCCCTTCCTTCTGTGAGCGAGGGACGGACCACTTTGAAAAATCAGGGACTCTCCAGGGCCAGCATGATGATGTGAACCTTCAGCCACCACGCTGACCTTCAG